TCCTCGGCCAAAGCTCTTCTCTAGGCTGGCTTTCCAAAACCTTTCTTGGGGGCTGTTATTCTGCCAGAGCGCCCCGGAAAAAGTAAATGCTTGAGGCAAAATAACAGCAAATTCGCCCTCAAAAACACTCTGTTTAAAAAAGACCCTTTCTTGGTGCTTCTCCTAAAATTAATGAACCTGTAACTTTTTTGTGAAAGTGCCTATCCGCAGCAGAAGGGGGAAGATGATGATGCTAAATCAGATGCATACTTTGGCTTTCTGTATGGCTAAGCATCTTTTTTAAATCCTTCTGAATTCTTTTTGAGAGCCTTCCACGTGGAGAAAATCTGTTAATATTTCTGGGAGCAGCAGGTCTAGGATGCCGAGCAAATAGGTGCTGCACTGTCTCGGCCTGGCATCTGGATACTACTTGATTTTCTTTCTACAGCAACACCATGCATCCTACGGGATGGCAAAAGAGTCTTCCAAGCAGTGTGGTGTCTTAATTTTGTTTTTAACGTGGGTTCTTAGCTTAAAACCAACACGGTGGTGCAGTTTGGACATCTGGTGCTGGGAGAAGGGCATCGAGGTATTTATGAAAGCGGGTGACTTCTGTAGCTACACGTGTGCCACTGTGGAGAGGGGCGACGTGGTTGTGTTTGGGAACTCTCTGAGTGTTCGTGTGACTGAGCTCTCCAGCTGTGGAGTTGGTATGTGTGTAGCTAGTTTTCTTTAAGCTGTCGGGGTACTGCTGCTTGTGCCTGTGCTCTCTGGCGCTCCGTTGGCTGCTGGAGCCCCCATCCGTAAAGATTGTCGGTGTCGCCTATGCTGATGGTGGCCACTGAGTTTTGTACCTGCGGGTGTTCGATGGAGGTTTGCTTTTATGCTGAAAGTTACGGAAGTGCCGATGTCCTGCCCTTCAAAGATGTAGTTTAAGTGGTAGTAATGGTTTATGGTGGGAGAGTCTCAAAATAATTAGAATTTCAATTTTGCTGATGAAAGCCAATACTAGGGTTGTGTGTGGAACATGTAAAAATCATCCAGGCTGTTCTACGTTCTGTGCTAGAATAGCCCAAACTTGTGGTTAGGGGATCGACAAAACTTGTGTCTAGCTGTTACTGGGTGGGATGATCTGTTCCCTCCTGTAGAGCAGACCTGTGCTTTACACCAGAGTATACAGGTGAAAATCTTGTTAGACAGGAAAACGCGCTGTACATACGCCGTGCGACTCGTATGCCTTCCGTGGGTACGTGCTTAAAAAGCTTAGAGTTGCCTGAACATTTTGCAATTGTTGAATATTTTCTATTTGCAGTGTTGGTAGCCTTATATGAAGAGCCAGAGAAACCAAATAGTGCACTGGAGTATCCTTTTCCTCTCCTGTGAATTGTTGGTAGAGGCTTGACACGGAACAGCAGTACCGCTCCTGAGGCGTAGGTGAACGGGAGAGACACGTACAGAAGACTGACATTGAGAATGTGACTTTACGGATGCGTTTTAGCTAATAACCGCATTCTTCCAAGCTAACAAATTCTGACAGGATGCAAGAGAACTGTGTGTATCAGTATGGCAGCAATTGCCAAGTTGTAGGCCATCACAGAATTTTGTAGAGCTGCAGCGTTGGATTTGCCTGCTTACTGTGTGTCTGTGGCTTCTGAAGTTGGCTTCTTCACGCTTCCTTTTAATATTTTTAATAACACAAGAGGGAAAAATTAATGTATTTTTTTCCCTTGCTTTTTTTAAAGCAGCTTCTCTTTTTGGCTATTGCATCTATAGTTTGGGTATTCCTTTTAACTCTCCAAAATTTAGGCATTTAAGAGAGGAAAAGGGGTGTGTGGTCAAACATGAAAATTTGTCCTGTGTGTACTGATGTCTTGCTTGTGTGTGTTTTGGTTTGTTGGTTTTTTTTTTTTTTTTAAGGAATATACCAATGAACTTGAAAAGCTCTCTTTTTTTTGCAATTTCATCCTATAGGTTGAAAAGCACTGTAGTAATATTAAGGGGTTTAGTGCAATTTCGGTCACGTGTATTGCAGCGCTAACTTCATTGTGAGCGTTAAAACCAAAATTCAGTTGTACTGTCTAACGGAAGAAATGCTTAACACTGAAATATCAGCTTTCTGAAGCATCATCTGGGAGCTTCAGCTCCTGAGAATCCAGAAATAGAGGCACTTCGCTTGGAAGTGGCAGAGATGAAAGAAAAGTACGAAGCTGTGTTGGAAGAAAATAAAAAACTGAAAACCAAGGTAAAAGTCTACTTGGTGCTCCTTAGTAGATCCGTGTTACGCAACAAGAAGAATGCTTTAATACTTGGAATACAGCTAACTCTCCTCTATTAGAGTAACTGGTAATTGTTGCATTGTTTAGCCTTGTGGCTGAGGAATGCTGATAGGATTCATCATAGTGAAGATTTTCCCTTTTTGGTCAGCCACCTCTTGTATTCTGTAACATTGCCGAACAAGGGATTTCATATGTGTAGTGAAAGCATGTGTTAACGAGGCTAAATCCTGTGTCTTCCTTCAGTCCTGTCTGGATGTGTTTAAGCTGTCTGACATTATGTAGCTCATGATGCCACAAGAGTTTTGAGAAAGAACAGAGCTAATGTATCTGTTATAAAGGCTTTCAAAAGGCAAACTGAAGAAGGAATATTATATATTAGTTTGTGTGACCTGGCACAGACTTGCACGTGCCAGGGTGTTTACCTGTTACCAGTGGAGGCACTTGTATCTACCTGGAAGAGTAATTTGCACTTTTCAGCTAAAACGACACTGGTATTCCTCTGTCTGCAATGAGAGTGGACCTGAAGGGCTACATAAGGCAGAGCTGTGCTTTAGTGGGTCTACAGGCTCTCTGAAACAGCGCCGAGATGCACAACTTCCCTAGTGCACTGACTCTAAACCTAACGAGGCTGAAGAAGGAAAACTTTAAGAACTTAAATAAGCTATTAGGTGCTGCTGCTGCGGGTTTCCATGCATTTGTTGGAAGAGGATGGCTGTTGTATGTGAACAACATCCCTAGGGGTTTTTTACTGGGAGGTAGTTACCCACCTTCATTCTAGGAGAAGGGATTCTTGGGCATTACCCCTTTGTATTTCTTGTCTGGAGCACCCTTTTGCTGGCCTAGTCATTCTTCTCCTTCTCTGTTACCCACTGTGAGTCTTTACAACAACATTTGTTATTTCTTACTAGGAAATATGACAAAGAGCAGAATTTTAGTAGCAGTAGACTAGCAGTTCACTCGGTGTAGCCGACTCAAAAATGCAGCCGATAGCAAGTAGACACACAAAAGCAGAGCAACCTGGGTCTTTGTTTAAAGAAATCTTTTAAAGAAGTCAAAACTTGTTTCAGGAGAATAAGTCTTCCATAATCATGGGTTTATTTGTGCTTTCACCTTCTTCAGCCTTCAAATGATAACTGTTACTTTACCTGGTTTGGGTTTTTTTTTTCCCTTTCTTTTTCCCTACCATTTCTGCCCATCATGCCGTGCCATGGAAGTTTACATGGACAGAATGCAGGGGGAACACTGCTGTTAGCGCTTTTTTTTTTTTAAAGCAGTCCTCTAGTATAAATACATGCCTTTAACTGTACATTTATTGGTAACTTAAGTCATGTCAAAATAGGTGGTGGTCTTCTGTTGTATTCAGCTGTGAAGAACCGTTCAGTTCCTTACATTTATTGGCCAGATTTGGGTGGGATGGGGGGCAGGAAGCCAATAGTTAGGCCCTTTGTGGAAAGGAGAACTGACTTTGGATTGTGTACTGGCCATCATTTGTTGTTCTTGTAGATTTTACCACAAAATGCTATTTTAGCAGTTCTTGCTAGTGGCAGAGTGATTGCTGTAATTTAGCATTGCTACAAGAAGCACATGGGTATTTTTATTTATGTACTTTGTTTATTGTTGACGTACTCCGCAATTTTCAGGAGAGGGCAAGAATTTTAATTGAGGAAACTGGACTGGCATATTTAAGAGACTCAGTCCTCATGCTTGAATCATTTGGAAGCTTTAGCTTATTTTCAATGTAACTGAAGTCAAGTAAACAAGTAAACCTTCATATTTTCTTAGGAAATAACGTTATAAGGTCACACTTCAGTGCATAGCTGCCCAGGCCATGCTCTCCAGAAAGCGTAATGGAAACTAAAACGATTACAGAAAATGTTAGTTTGGGTACTGTTGCTACCGAATGAGAGTTTCATTTAATCACTTCAGTGAAATCAAAGCAGCTGAAAATGATCAGCACCTTGACACAAAAAGTAGATGGTGAGACCTAAAACAAGAAATAGGAAAAAATTAAGGGCAAGACCTGTACGCTGGAAAGTGCGTCTAAGAACCCCCTTGTTACAGCTACATGATTATACAATGTGACAAAGTGATGATTTGAGGGAAGTTACTTTGTTGCCCGACTCAAACAGACTTGCATAAATATCGGTGATGGATTACAATGCACAGTGCAAATGGAATGCTTCCAGACCAAACGTTTTCCTACGTTCTTAATGCAGAAAGTGTTTTTGAAATGTTGCAGCTAACTAAATTCCTCTCTTTAAATCCACAGCTGGCTCAGTATGAACCACCTCAAGAAGAGAAGCATGGTGAATAGCAGTAGTTTCTCCTTTAATGCCTTGACTTAATAAAGGGCTTCCTGAGAAATGCAGTCTTTAATTTTTTTTTTTCCTCCTTGTGTGAACTCTGCAGGTCTATTTTGTTACCTCATCATCTTAAAGGAAAAAAAAAAAACCCACCAGTATCTTGAGTGCACAGCTATTTTTGTGGAGCTGCAACATACTGGCCAACTTTGTTGCTTTCTGTGTTTCAGAAAAGGTGATAGTTAATCATAACTTGTAGATAACTGCCTGCCAATTTTATGTCAGTCTTGCATCGTGGTCACAACATTCATGTTAAGCTGCTGATCTCTCTCGGTTTTGTTGTAACTGGAAGGGGGTGACGTGACGCAGGTGGACCAACTATAAACTGAAGCAGGAGCTCCAAGATATGTTCCAAGTTGGTACTCGGCAGTGAGGTTAGGCTTCTGCTGAAGCTGGTAGGGTAACTGTGTCCTCGGAGCACAAAGGAGTGAGTATAGTTATGCTGAGTGATGGACATAGCGCAGTGTTGGAGATGCAGTACCTATCGAACTTAGGTACACCTCATGCAAATTAAAAACTATTTCAATCCAGTTCATGTGTCTGATCCTGTTTCAGAAACCAGGACTTGGAGAGTTGATACAGATACTGTATGGACAGTCCTGAACAGAATCCAAAATTCTTACTTCTAATGGATGTCCTGTGTAATCAGTGGCACGTGTAGGAGTACAACATGGAGACAGTTCTGCCTTCTGCTTCATCTAGCAAGGAAGAGAAAATCTAGGCAGGGCAGACAATCCAAGAGGGGGTGACCTGTGATTTCTAATTTCACTTCTATGTTCTATGGCCCCTGTTTCCCTGAATCAGCTTCATAATTCTTCAGAAATGCAAAGTTGGCCTTTAAAAAAACCCCAAAAACCCTAAGATGTTTGGTTTTGGTAAGAGCTGCATTTGTCTCCTATCCTAAAACTAGGTGTTTTAAAGGCAACTGATGACAGGAACAATAAAGTGTGTGGGGGAAGCTGTCTTGTGTATTGGATCTACTGGCTCTGAGTTTAACTTCTTTTTTTCTAGGATGGGTTTTGCAGCGTGTCTCACCTACAGGTGTGGTAGGATGGGTCACAACTTTTGCTAAAGGCTGTGTATGAACTGAAATCAAGGGCTAATGAATGCAATGGTTGCTTACCTTACTACTCTACCTCTTATTGGTGGGGTGACCGGAAGAGAACTAAATGTGGGGAAAACACTGTGTTAAACATTTAAAACAACAGTGAAAACCACTACTCTGAACAAAAAAACAATCTGGGTGGGCATGGGGAACAAGCTAACCAACAAAAACAAACCCTGCAACCAAACAAACCACAGAAAAAATGCCCCACCCCCTGCAAGAGAGGAGTGAAGGGGGCTCAGTTGTAAGTTAGAACATGTGCCTAGCACTGAGTTGCAGCAGGTGGAGAGAGGGAGAGGATAATGCTGTGGGAAAATGTGCAGTAAGGACCATCCTGGAGGGAGCTGGACAGAAATGCCCTTCGGGGTGCGGATTGCAGGCAGGTAAGGGGTTTCGTTGGGGTTGTTGCAGGGCACGAAGGACTTCGGTCACAATGTTGGGTGCGAGGGCCGTAATAAACATGCTACTTGCTTCCCTCTGAAAAGAGTTCAGTCCTGTAAGCCTTAAATTGGGATTGTAACGAAAGCAGAAATGGTTGTTAAAGCTTCGCTCCCGCTGCCTGCCGGTGGAAAATCGATGACTAATGACCAGGAAGAACCTTGCTCCGTAGGTAACCTTCTCGTGGAAAGGGGGTGCCCCTGGAGCGAAAGCTCCCGTGCCTGGGTTGACATCTATTTCCGCGACTGCGGGGCCGGTCTGCGCCGCGGGGGCCGGGCGGGGGGCGCGTACCGGTCCCTCCTC